GTGAGAGAGAGAAAGAGAGAAAGAGAGAGAGAGAGAGAGAGAGAGAAAGATAAAGAAAAAGATGAACGATGGAAATCAAAAAGAATAAAAAGATAAACAAAAAAAAAGGAAAAGAAATAAAGAAAGGGAGTGCAAGAAATAAAAAGAAAAGAAAAGAAAAAAAAAATAAACAAGAAGAAGGAGAAAAAGAGAAAAGAAAAAAGAAATACAGAAGAAAGGAGTGGTAGGATGGGGTGGGGGGAGGGGGTGGGGAAAGGGAAAGAATCGCTACGTAAATATGAGACCGGTCGAGTCATCGGCCCTTCGAAAATCCTTTGAGAACGAGCCGCCACTCGACTTTTTATCGGACTGTCGCTTATGATTGAAAATGAGTGTGGCGCTAACAGACTCAGTCCGCTTCCTCTCCATTCTTAATCCTACCGACCAAATGGCTATCTCCTCTTTGTCATGAACGGACGAGTCTCACAAGGATAATGCTAATTATTGTTTAAGGATATACATACATACATATTACATGTTTCTTTCCTTTCGATTATCATTATTATACGTTTAGTGCAATTATTTCGACAATATTAATATTAATTATATATATATATATATATATATATATATATATATATATATATATATATTTCATTTAAGTTTCCTATCTGCTTGTTCCTTTTTTTCTTTTTCTTTTTCTTTATCGCACTTCTTTTAACATACTTTCCTTTTCTGTTATTTTTTCTTTGTAGAAAAATAAGAATGAAATAATTTATTTGCGTGTAATATTAATCGTAACTAAATAAAATAAGAATTCTCGAATAATAATTAAACCGCGTTAATTAAGATACAACAACAAATACGTCCTTCACAAAACCTTTTACAAATTCATTCTGATTATCGTCGAATCACGATCCCGTCGGCTTGGGTATGAAATCAAAGGTTGAAAAAGTAACTTCTTCCGGAGCGGAAAGAATTTCAATTTTACGAAGATTCGTGGGACCAATTAAAGGCGTGTTCCTTGAAAAGGGCTGATGTTGAAAATCGGATCTGGAAGGACTAAAGGAGAAGAAGAAGAAGAAGAAGAAGAAGGACGAAAGGAAAAACGATTATTTACGTGCTACGTCACAAGACGTGTGCGCACGCGCACACACAACTTCGAAGAAGGTACATTCAAGAATATATAATACATATATATATATATATATATATATATATATATATATATAATATATATATAATATATATACCTATATGTATAGTTTTTGTCGGATCACTTAACTTACTTTGAACAAGTTTCGACGAGGCGAGGCCAAGTTTCGAATTTGCCAGCGTATGCCGCTGACGCCGCAGCAAGAAATCGAGTCGTGGAGAGACGATCTCTCTCTCTCTCTCTTTCTCTCTCTCTCTCTCTCTCTCTCTCTCTCTCTCTCTCTCTTTCTCTCTTTCTCTCACTCTCACATTCTACCCTTCTTCTAGTTTCTAATTAAAGATCGAAACTTTATTCCGGATGACAAGAAACTCCTTCTTGTTTCGCGCACCGACGAGCCGAGACTAGGAACGATATAATAATATTCTTTTTCTTATTTCATTTTCGTCCTCGCAAAAAATCGAACGCGTCTTATTGTTCAATAATTTTCATTGTCATAATAATTTTCTAACATAACGGTGGATTAAGAAGCGTCTGCCTCCTCTTCAGGGATTTCCTTTTCTTTCTTTCTTTCTTTCTCTCTTTTTTTTCTTGTTTTATTTCTTTGTTTTTTTATTTTCTTTCTTCTTTCTTTTTTTTTTTTTTTTTAAATTCTCACTCGATCAATCAACGAACGAGAGATATACATATATATATATATGCATATTAAAGTAATACAACCAATCATCGGTAATATGACCGAATCCTCGTGTTTCTTTTTTTTTTCTTTCTTTTTTCTTTTTTTTTTTTTTTTTTTTAATTGGCCAATGATATATATTTTAATTATTAATCTTTTAATAGAGCGAATGTTACGAATAAGAGAAGATCAATCATCGATGGTACTTTTAAAAAAAGCAAAATCACTTGGACTTTTGAATTGAATTAACACTATCCGAATGTCTTGTAACTTTGCTTTAACGCACCTTGAAGAGGAGACTTAACTTGGTCCCTCTCGGCCACCTGATGCTGCCGCGATTTTCTCTCCAGCTCGAGTTCCTGCACCAGCGATTCTGCGACAAGAAAAGATATAAAATTGACACAGGCCGTTGGTTTTTTCTACTTGTTTTTTGTTTTTTTTTTCTTTTCCTCTTTTTTTTTTTCGAAACGACGTAGCGATATTCGCGATAGTAAAAGTATCGGATGTATCGACGACAGATTATCGTTCTTTTTTTTTTCTTTTTTTTACCTCCTCCCTCCCCTCAATCCATCCTCGCCGCCTCACCTAAACATACGCCGCGTTTAATAATTCCCGATCTATGGATATATCAAAAAAGCATTTTTAACGACTCGATTTCATTTTCTTCTCGTTTCTTTCTTTGTACGTTCGCTCGCATTTGTGTTCTTCTCTTCTTTTTTTTTTTTTCGTTTTTCCACTGTAAAAAATAAAAAAAAAAGAAGAGAACGAAAGAATCGTCGATGCTCTTATACGTGCGTAATTCGATTTGCCTTGTCAGGATCCATTTCTACTTAAAAAAAAAAAAAAAAAAAAAAAAAACCATCGCGTCGTTTTTGAATTATCCACGAGCGAATAATATACATTATATCTCAGTTGCTCTTTTTAGGAGAGGGGAGGGGTTCGTTTTTGTCGAGGCATGAAACGGAAACATCGTGCCGAGCGTTCACCAAGGACGAAGCGGAAGAGTAATTAGTGGAAAAGCAACGAGACGCTTGCCGGTGTGAGAAAAGGGGGACCGTAGAATATATAACGTAGTAAGGCGGCCATGAAAGGGGAAGCGAGGATTTGTTCAATGAATTCCGCTTGGATTAGGGTGAAAACTGGAAAATGTCTCTTTAATGATATCGCGCCGAATTAACCGCCGACCAAGCTTTGCACCACTGACTGACTGCTCTTTTATTTTCTCGACCTAAGTTGACCTAACCGAACGTAAAGACCTTCATCGTTGCACCTTCTATTCTATTTTTTGGTTTGTTTGTTTTATTCTTCATTTTTTTTTTTTTCATTCATTTCCCTTTTCTTCACATATTTAACAAGTATTCACAAGTAAGGATAATGTCATACGAGAATATCGATCAATTTGATCGATGATCATTTTCGAGTGAGTATAATTAATTAAAAAAATATTCTAAAATATACAAGATAGTAAATAGATGAGAAAGAGAGAGAGAGAGAAAGAGAGATAAATAGATAGCTAAATAAATAGATAGATAGAGATAGAGAAAGAAAGAGAGAGAGAGAGAGAGAGAGAGAGAGAGAGAGAGAGAGAAGGAAGGAACGAGGGATAAGATCAAATCTCTAAGCGTGAAATGGCGTCTCCTTAGGCAAAGAGCAATGGTAAAATCCAATTGCTAGGCCATTAAGCCTCGCTTAACTGGTACACCCTAGGTGAGAGAAGAGTAACCGATTCTCTCTCTCTCTCTCTCTCTCTCTCTCTCTCTCTCTCACTTTCTCTCTCGCGTTCGTACAAGAGACGTGCGAAGGTGGGACTAGAAACGACGGGACCGAGATTCCATTATGCTTTGTGCAACAATAGCTGAGGGCTGTTTCGTACTACGTGGGTGTGAATTCGTGCGTTCGTCAGGGACGTTGTTATATTCCATGGGACACCATGGATGTTTGCGTTTCACTGAGAGCCAAATTACCTACCTCTCGCGCCCTTATCCGCGCGCGGGGCGTTTTCGTCCCTTTGATATCCAAATGACAATTTAACTGCTCAAGATATAGCCTCTATACGAAGGGTGAGAACATAGAAAAGTAAAGGAGAGAAAATGAATATACGATTTATGGATTACGTATTTAAAGAAATTTACGAATATATAATAATTTATATATATGTATTGATTAATTAATAATAATTATTTTTTATGTTGAACAATACAAACTTTATATATAAGTTATATACAAGTATAAAAGTTTTATGTATACATATATGTATAGATATATAAAGATGAGACTAACGAAAGAATGTTGATCCTAACAATGAACTAATCCTTTGAAACTTCCCAACCAACAAAACGTTCACGGTAATTTCGTCTGTCCTGTCTTTCATTGTCGAACGTTTAAGAAACCGAAAAGGACTGCGTAACTTTCCCTGAACACGTATACGTATCCTTTTCGAACGTCAGCCCTATGAAAGGGTTACTTGAAAAGGGATCGAGTGAAAAAGCGCGGAGTGAGATAGAAAGAGAATGTGTGTGTGTGAGAGAGAGAGAGAGAGAGAGAGGGAGAAAGTCAGAAAGAAAGAATGAAAGAAAGAAAGAAAGAAAGATAGATAGATAGATAGATCCGCGAACTCATCGATTGATCGCTGTATCCTTTTGGACAGCGTGACATATCACCGAAGTTGATAAAAAAAAAAAAAGAATGAAAAGGAAAAATAAAAAATAAAGGAAAAAAAAAAAATAAAAGAGAGAAAAAAATAAAAAGTACGTAGCCATCTCGTTTAACGTTTGAGTTTCGGTCGGCATTTACCAACGCATACATTGTCCCTCTGTGACATATATGTACGTGTATGTATGCACGTGTATATATATATATATATATATATATATATATATATATATATATATATAAACCTTGACAAATCGTATGGACAATGAAAACAATTTCAGGCCAGAGGCCGGTTCCCTCGAATCTAAACGCTTTCGGTATTGTGGCTGCGTCGATTTTTTGGGGTTGGCGTTCCGGAGGATGAGGAGGTGTGGATCCGTTAAAAAGGAGAGAGAGAGAAAGAGAGAGAGAGAGAGAAAGAGAGAAAGAGAGGTATATGACTCTGCGTTTATCCTCACGTAATTAACTTCGACACAATGCGTTCGGAGAAGGCCGACTTTGCTTGGTCGAGAACGAAAACGACGAAAGAGGAGAAGAAGGAACAAGAGGAGGTGGTAGTGGCGGGGGAGGAGGAGGAGGAGGAGGAGGAGGACAGAAGAAAAATAAAAGAATGATTGCAGAGATGAAAGAAAAAGAGGAAAGATACTATCTCTTTCTCTCTTACTCTCTCTCCTTCGGCTCCCTTTCGCAAGTAGCCCATCTTTTTTCTTCTTCTTATTCTCATTCTCATTCTCTTTCTTCTTCTTCACCTTCTTCTTTTCCTTCTTCTTCTTCTTCTTCTTCTTCTTCTTCTTCTTTATCTTCTAAAGTCTGGAAAAATTCTGCCATTGTATCTCGTCGTATCGTGTCGCCATTGTCCAACGTCGTCCGACTACTTTTTACTTGGATTCTGTGTCCCCCAACACCATCACCATCCCTCCACCCTCTCGAAGCTTTTGAGTACAGTATCGAGCGCTAACGTTTTGTCGAAATGCCTTGAAATTGGAATCGTCATGGTTCAAGGGGACGATTCAAACGATCTTTGCTAAAGATGTTACAATGATAATTTATTGGAAATTTTCTTTTTGTTTTCTAACTCGATTAAATACAATTGCATTTGATGAAATTCGTCGATTCGAGGGGGTTTCAATCGTTGTCGAATTTTTTTCCTATCACGTCATTATATATATTATATTCTATATATATCGTTAATCTTTAATCTTTATTCGTTTATCTCATTTTTATCTCTATCTCTGTCTCCTTCATTTCTCTCTCTCTCTCTCTCATTCTCTCTCTTCTTTGAGAGCGTTCGCTTTCTCACAGTGAATGTTCCATTGAAGATCATACTCAAGTGCACTCGAGAATTTTGGTCGGCGCGTGAAACGACGAAATTTAAGCAACTTAAGTAGTCGAGACGAGAAGAAGATACAGATACTCGAGGACTGAAGAGGAAGAGAAGAGAAGAGAAGAGAAGAGAAGAGAAGAGAAGAGAAGAGAAAAGAAGAGAAGAGAAGATCCTAACTAGACAGAGAGAGAGAGCGAAAAAGAGGGAGGGAGGGAGGGAGAGAAAGAGAGAGAGAAAGTTCCCTCTCACTTTTTGCTCGAAGTGCACGCGAGGAGTAAGGGGAAGAAAAAAGAGAAAAGATAAAAGAAAAGAAAGAAAGGAAAGAAGAGAAAGAAAAAGAAGAAGAAAAAGAGTGGAAGTATCGAGAGGAAGGGTGTACGCGCGTGTTAAACTTGGAGGGTTGATTTCGTGTAGCCCCGCGCGTTCTTAATTCTCTGATCTTTATGTAAAACGGAACGATAGTGTGCGACGTTGGTGAACGATATAGGGATAAAGAGAAAGAGAGAGAGAGAGAGAGAGAGAGAGAGAAAGAGAGGACGCCTTGTGCTCGAGATACAAACCGAGCGTGAAATTATATGAATCAGGGAACGTAAGAAATGTAAAAGAAAAAAAAAAAGGAAAGAAAAAGAACTCTTGAAAGATATAAAAAAAAGAAAAGAAATGATAAATGCTTATCACGAGCGTGTACGCGGCGTTATTATTTTTCAATGAACAATTATACAAAAATGAAAATGATTGTTACTGTTTTCTTCTGTTATTTTTCTTTTTCTCTTTGTTATTTTTTTTTTATAAAATCTGCCAAAGTGTTTTATGATATGAATTGCAATGATTAAAGAGAAGTAAAGAGAGTGAAGGAGAGAGAGAGAGAGAGAGAGAGAGAGAGAGAGAGAAAGGTTTTACAAATTCTTCATCCCTCTTTTTCCGAATCGAGAGTCTTATAATTTCAAATTTCCGCGGGCGTCGGAGAACGAACACTCATCTCCCTTCGACCCCAGAACCTTTTGCGCTTTTTAAACTCCCGTCGTTCTTACTCTCTCTCTCTCTCTCTCTCTCTTTCTCGTGCGAGTGCGACTCGCAAGACTCTTTAGAGGGTGGGAATTTCGTTTCATCCTTCGACGATAACGAGGTACTCTTTTCCGTGAGTCGAATCGAGCTCAAGCAAGCGAGAACGACAAGGCTTTTTCGAGCATCGTATCTCCTCGAAGATTACGAAGTCTCTCTTTTTAGCTCTTTCCCACTTTCTCTCTCTCCCTCTCTCTCTTTCTCCCTCTCTTTCTCTCTTCATTTATCTATCTCTCTATCTTTATATCTTTCTTTCTTTTTCACGTGAATCATTCTTCAAGGTATCTCAACTTTTCCATGGTTCTTTTTTACAATTTAAAATCTCTCATTGGTTCGATTTGGTACTCATAGTGGAAAGATTCGCATCTTTAATCAATTTAATTCTCTCTCTCTCTCTCTCTCTCTCTCTCTCTCTCTCGCTATTTCACAGTTCTTGAAAGATGAAGAAAAAAGGAAGAAAAAGAAAAGTATGCAAATACGAGAATAGACAAATATTTTTCATAAAACATTACACCTCCTTGGAATTTCGAGTTTGACCGATTTCTCTTTCGTATTCTTTCTCTTTTTATTCTCTTCTCTTTCTCATTTTTCTTTCATCCTCTTTCTCTTCCTCGTATTGTATATCGAATCGTCGTTCGTCCAAACCTCGTCATTCACTGGAATAATAAAAAGTGAACATTTTTCCATTCGAGCGTCAACGAGATCGAGCCAACGAGATTGGCTCCGTACATTGAAAGAGGAGAGTTAGAAGGAAGAAGAAGAAGAAGAAGAAGAGGAGGAGGAGGAGGAGGAGAAGGAAGAGGTGGAGGAAATGTAATTCGACGGTGAAAATTGCGTGAGCCCTGTTAAGAGAAAGAGACGACTATGAGTGTATTTGTCTGTATATGTGTATGTGTGTGTGTGTGTATGTAAGAGAGAAAGAGAGAGAGAGAGAGAGAAAAAAGAAAGTGAGATGGCTCGACAAAATCGGAGCTCGTAATCGTCATGCGGGGATGGCAACCCCTAATATTTCGGACGGCACCTACGCACGACCCCGCGAAAAACTACCACGGCGTATAAATAGAAGCACCCTTCCTTCTCACTCGCCCACTCAGTCTCTCACTCTTTCTCTCTCTCTCTCTCTCTTTTTATTTCTCACTCTTTTTTTCTCTCTTTCTCTCGATTTCTCTTGTCGTAGTTCATTCCCCGGAAAACCACGTCGTGTCTTGTGGATATATTCGAGCAACGAGGGATGCTTTCAACATTCTCTCTTTCACTCTATCTCTCTCTCTCTCTCTCTCTCTCTCTCTTTTTCATTCACCCTCTGCTTCCTCCGCTTTGCCTTTCTTCGACCTTTATATCGCTCATATATATATATATATATATATATATATATATATACATATACATATACATACATTCACCTGTCACGCTTTATCACTCTCGCAAGGTTATTGTCTTTCGTGCGAGTACGTTGTATGTGATTTCGTTTTCTACGATGCTCTTATCTCTTCTAATCTCGTTTTTTCTTTCTCCTTTTTTCTTCCCTCCTTTTCTTTTTTCCTTCGAGCAAACAAACGTTCTTTTTCTCTTTCCTTTTTTTTCTCTTTTTGTTTCATTTATTTCTTTTTTTCCGATGCAAGAGGGGTTGGTGGGAGGATGAAAGGATATATTTAAAAACATTTTGAAGTAAAGAGAATACAAATGTTCCAATTAAAATATTAAGATATATACATATATATATATATATGTGTATGTATGTATGTATGTATGTTATATATGTATGTATCATTTAAAATATTAAAATTAACGAGACGTGTTTATGGAATACGATTCGCAATGGGTATTATATTATGAGACTCTTCGGAGTTTCGAGTAGAAGGAGGAAAGATTATGGTTGCCATGAAATTATTGCATATAGTCTGAATATTAAAGTGTACTGGAGTGCTCCGTCGTGGAGATGTTGCGAAGGAATGATACGTGTGTAAGCGAGAGGGAATATAGAGAGGGAGGGAATACAGATGAGGAGGATGAGGAGGAAAAGGAGGTGGAAGCGAACGGGAGCGAACGGGTGGGAGCGGTTTAAGGGAGGCCAAGGAAACGCGAGTGGAAGAAGAAGGAGGAGAATGACGAGGAGGAGGTGGTGATGGTGGTGGTTGTACTGGAGGAGGAGGTGGAGGAGGTGGAGAAAGAGGAGGAGGGAATATACAGGTAACGCCACAGAGAGCCACGGTGGCCGCCGGGGAAATTACGGCTCCTTCCTTACTTACGAGGAGATGTGCATAAACTCTGCATTACGTTCAGTGGCGCTCACCTGAACACGTTTTAAACTATGTAAAATTTAAATGTATATATATATATATCAATATTTTCGAATATATCATTTTTACGTAATAAATTCATTTGATCGATATTAACGAAAACAATCGTACCATTAGATTCGATTTTCAACTTTGCAATCATCAAAGATTACTCGTCAAAGTAATCCATTATAATCCATTAGTTCCAAAGTATTCTCCTTATTATTATTGATTTAAAATAATTAATGTTGGAAAATCATTAGGGGAGAAAACCGAGCGAAATTTTTTTTGTCGTAAATAATTTCGTTTGTTGTTCTTTCTTTTCTTCTTTATTTTCTTTTTTTTTTTCTTTTTTTTTTTTTTAACACAGCTACCACGAGATCGTACGAAACGAATTGAAAATTTCAAAAGGGACAAGAGTACATGTCCGTAGAAGAGTTTCTCCAGAGAAGTATGAGGATCACTGCTGGTATAGAATGCATGGACTCGAAGACACGACGGCTCTGAGGTCCCTTCGGGTGGTGTAAGTACCCACCTCTCAGACGACGATGACGACGACGACGACGTTACGCTTTCTCTCTCTCTCTCTCTCTCTTTCTGTTTGGTCCCTCCTACCCCTATTCTACCCCGCCTAAATCTCTGTTGTTTATTGCAAATGGATTCCGCATCATGATGCCCGGGTGGATGCTGCCGAGACTCGATTCAAATACCTCGTGTTTCCTCGTCAGACCTAACTCTCTCTTTCTCTCTCTCTCTCTCTCTCATCATACATATACAGTCTTCTATCTATCTATATCTGTCTCTCTCTCTCTCTCTCTCTCTCTATCTCTTTCTCTCCTCATGTACGTCGGGGTTGTTATTGCCTCTGGCGTGATTGCTCTCGCTCGAGATCTTTCGAATAATTTACTTTGGCCGATACCACACGACACACACTTTTCTCGACCTCCAGTTTCCCTCCATCCTACTATATCCCACCCCCCGCCCTCCTCCCTATTTCCCTCCCATCACTCCTTCTATTCACGATTTTTCTCTTTTCCTTCGTACACCTACCTACCTATCCATCCCTCTGTTACTGTAGTAGTACCTACGTGTGTATTCTGGAAACGAGGATCGAGGCCACTCGTCCGGAAGATCAGAAAAATTGAGTGGATTCTAATACGAGAACGCGATTATCCGAATTAGCGGTCTGCTACGGATCCTTGCCCTCTTTCTCCCATTCTCCTCATGGTCCCTATACTTTTCAAGGGGAAAGAGTTCTCGCAACTGGTCGATTCCTATCATCACGAATAAACGATCATGATGTAAATTATTTATATGGGATATTTTAATGAGACTTCTTGTTCCTTTTTCTTTTTTCTTTTTTCCTTTTTTACTCTATTCTTTCATTTCGCAGAGAAGAATTCAATTGTATAAAAATTAGACGATTAGAAGAGACGAAAGATTTCTTTTTGTTAAATATTACATGGATACACACACACACACATATATATATATATTTTCCTAATCAGAATTCTAATATTTTTAAATAATTATATAGAATATATTTGATGAAGTTACCACGAATGTGTCTGATTGTATACTAAACGATCGAAATTCCTAATTAGAGCAGAATAAGATTTAAAAGAATATTATCGAGAAGTATATCGTAAAAATTTCTATCCCGAACTATCCTGAAGAAACTGACCTTGGTAATTTTGCCAAAAGGCCGATGCCTGACTACCGATGAGGTCCAGGCCGTATCCCCATGCTGGCTTCTCCGGCGTAGAAGGTTGTTGCGACGGACGTGGAACCTGAGCTTCTCTGTACTGTTGCGCCGCTGTTTGTTGTTGCTGAAGGGGTTGTTGTTGGGATTGTTGTTGGGATGGTTGTTGCTGAGATTGCGAATGTACTGGACTGGCTTCCGGTGGTTCTGAGCTTGTACGAGCTTCCGTCGTCACATTTTCTGTATATTCAATAAAAGAAACATAAAATATATATAATAAACTTTAACAATTTATACAGATATGTATATATATATATATATATATATATATATATATAAATCAAACGGGTCATTTATCATTATTATTGATCGACTATGGATATTTCATTCTTTATTTTCTTTTTCTAATCTTTTCTTTTTTCTTTTTCTTTTTTTTTTTGGTTTCACAAATGGACACGAATTTATATTAAAAATTACGGAAACGGGGAACGTCTTCAACGAGTAAAAAAGGTGGTAATCGTTTTGAAAAATAAACCCCAACTTTTTCTCTCTCTCTCTCCCTCTCTCTCTCTCTGTACCTCCCTCTTTCTCTCTTTGTCACTCTTTCTCTTTCTCGATGGAGAATGCGAAGTCTCGTTCCGTTTGATTTGAAATTAGTATCGCTACTCTCTGGATCTGACAGGATTAATCAACAGTACCGAAGACGAAGACGACGTCTACGATGTCTACGTCGACGATTACGACGACGACGACGACAACGATGACGGTGAGAACGGCGACGAGAAGGAAAACGTGCCAACGAGAGAAGCAGAGGAGGAACCACTTGGCAGGAGGTAGGCAAACAGGCAAGCGAGCAGGAAATGTTATATCGGAATAAGAGATTTCACTTAAAGGGTTTCGCGTTTGAGTTTTGGTAGTGACAGGAAGAAGGGTGCCGTGTTCTCTCTCTCCCTCTCTCTCTCTCTCTTTCTCTCTTTCTCTTGCTAATTCTCTTGCCGGAGGATTCGAAGAGTGGGCGGGTCGAATCTCGAAGAAGAGAGAGAGAGAGAGAGCTTAGAAAAGAGAAGGATAGAAAATGAACCGATAGGACGACGATGATACAGAGAAGGAAGGAGAAAGGATGGTAGGAAAGTAAGGAAGGATCAGGTGAATCTCACTAGAGGATAAGTAAGGAATCATATTCTAGCGGGTGTCAGTCTGTTTACTTTGCTTTGGCGAATTAATTAATTCGTTCCAAGATCAGGAGGTAGCCTCAAGGGATCTTTATCTCTTGTTGAAGAAGAAGAAGAAGAAGAAGAAGAAGAAGAAGAAGAAGAAGAAGAAGAAGAAGAAGATGATGATGACGACGACGATGACTTCTTATCTTTCAACTTGAAAATCGTTTTGTTCTTTCTCTTGGTAATCCGATCGTTGAGGAAGGAGAGAAGAAATACGATCGAGTATTCTCTTACGAGAACGAGTGTATATCGAATAATAAGGTCAAAGTTTATAATGGACACCGGAGTAAGTAAGTAAGTAAGTAAGTAAGTAAGTAAGTAAGTAAATAAGTAATTTTAAAGACATTTGGGATAACGATCAAATATAAATAAAAGACTTGAGAGATCCCGAATAAGTGATATCTTAAGGGTAGTAGTATATTTATATATTCGTGCATGCACAACATGTATAATGTACAATATGTATGTACGTATGTATGTATATATATGTATATACACTTACCAGTGATCGCTCGAACTTGCTCGGACGAAGCTCCCGTGGCTTTAAGTGCCTCCTCCAATTGCGTGCGCCTCTTTATCTCCAGATCTAATTGCTCCTGCAATCGCTTTCTCGCTCTTCGTTCCTTCTTCAACCGCTTTTGATAGACGACTGAAAAATATAAGATAGAAGGGGAAAGAGAAATGAGATTAAATTAATGTTTTTACGTTTCGCTTCTCTCTCGTTTTTTCTTTTTTTTTCTCTCCCTCTCTCTCTCTCTCTCTCTCTCTCTCTCTCTCTATGTAGATGCGTGTGTACGTGTACGTATACGTGTGCGTGCTTGTTTTCTTTCCTTTTTTTTCTCCTTTAACTTTTTCCCCATTTATAATATGATATATATTCGATGAATATTCGTCAAGATCGTTTAAGATATATATATGTATTGTACGTTGGTAAAAGTTCCTCGGTTGGTGGTCAGAACCCTGGAGTGATCGTAGTCTGTCAGAATTATCACGGTAGTATCCTAACTTGCAGCAGGGGGTTTCGCACTGTGTGTGGATCGAAAAATCAAAATATAACGCGTTCGCACAAGAGATCTTTGATTGTCCTGAGTTTGGCTACCGTGCGTGCGACCGACCGGTTCGTAAATGGCATACGTATTACCGACTGACTGACTTATTCACTGAATGAAATGAGAATGGTTTAAAATCGATATTAACGTCTTAATAAACATCGTTCACCTTTATCTCATTGTATATTTCAATACATATGAATTGCGCATAATAGTAGTATTTAGGTCGCTCTGTTTATGTTTACGTTTTGTAAACGGTTACGTACTACACTATATCGTTTACATTATTTAACGACAAAAAGGAATGTTGTCATACAATTCCAAGAATCAAATCAGATCACGGAACATTGACTAATTGTTTTTGTTTATCCTGTTACGATGATAAATTGACGTAATTTTTCTTTTAAGCATAGATATTTTACGTGATTTATACGTAAATAATATATATGTATATATGTATTAAGTATACAAGCGTAAAATTATTATTTCCCTTTTGTTTTTTTTTTTTTAACAATGCTTTCATTCCTGCCATTAAAAGATCTCTAGATAATCTTAAGAGAGATAAGATTTAATGTAGAAAATGATTGTAATTAATAATATATTAATTGTATCATTTATGACGATCTTCTAATGCGATCGTTTGTAAAGATTGAAAAATATCGAAATGCATTATTCTATGCGATAAAAAAGAAATAAAAGTTTAAAGATTAAAGAGAGTTAAATTTCTTCCTTATCTTCTCCTCCTTCTTCTTCTTCTTCTTGTCAACTCTAATCCTTTTTTCTCTCTTTTTTTTTTCTTTTCTTTTTTCTCTTTTTCATTCGAAGTGAAGAAGATAGATATAGAGAGATCGATCGAGTCGATCGATGCCTTTGAACCTCCACCTTTTCTTTGCTCGATTTAATTATTTTCCGTCACTGTGAACCAGGAGCAAGCTATTGTGTTCTCTCTCTCTCTCTCTCTCTCCCTCTCCCTCTCCCTCTCTCTCTCTCTCTCTATCTATCTATCTTTCTCTCTATCTCTGTCTTTTTCGTGCAGTATCTCTCGCCATTGGCCATTTCGAGAGGCGATCTCGCGAACACTCTCCTCTTTGTTGTCGATGCCTTTATCGTTCAAGAAAAAGATATATATATATATATACATATATATATAGAGAGAGAGAAAGAGAGAGAAAGAAAGAAAGAAAGAAAGAGAGAGAGAAAGAGAGAGAAAGAGAGAGAGAGAGAACAGCAATAATAATACCGGACCGGTCGGTTGAGCTCCTCGAACGTCCAATGTGTCGTTTCTTGCCACGTTTTCAGTGAACGCGAGAAGAAAAATCGACGTGTCTCGTGAAAAAAACGCGATCGAGAATTCGATCTCAGGAATTCTTTTCACATCGAAAAGGAGATGGAAGAAGAAGAAGAAGAAGAAGAAGAAGAAGAAGAAGAAGAAGAAGAAGAAGAAGTGGAAGAAGTGAAAGAAGAAGTGAATAAAGAAGAAGACGAAGAAGAAGAAGATTAAAAAGAAGAAACAACGAAGGGATCGCGCGTTGGATCCAAACATTCTTCGTTTCTTTAGACTGATAGAAACGACGGTGGCTTGCCGTCGCATACGCAAATCAACTTGGTAGATTACTTTCTCTCTTGCAAGATGATAGACGGTAGCACGAGTCCATGTCGCCTTAGGCAACATCCTTTACTCTCCTTCTCTCTTTTTTTTATTATCCTCTTTTTTACTTTTTTTTTCTTTTTTTTTTCATTCCTTTTATTCTTTTTCTTCTTTCTTTTTTTCACCTCTTCGTTATTAAAGACATCACTTGAGAATTTCTCTTAAATATGTATATATATATATATATATATATATATATATCTTTTTTATAAGCAATATTTAAATATTATACATTATAAAATATTTTTACTCTAAATAAAAAAAGAAAAAAAAAGTATTTCGAAGGGAGTACGAGAAAATAATAAGAAGAGAATACGAATAAATAAAAAAAGAAAAAATAAAGAAAGGAAGAAAATATATATATAATATTATATATATATATATATAGGGGTAGCCGGCAAAAGTGGGAACCGTATCATCGTGATATATCCATCGATCGGTCGAAGGCATAGGCCAGCAGGTGGGCACAGGTTGAGCGTCACTGATACGTGATTGATTCCCGGCAGACAAGGCGCAGACAACCCCTTCGGCCCCTCTACTCTCATCGTCCTCGCCGCTCCTCCCTGTTTCCCCCGTATTCTCGGCTTCTTCCGTCTCCCTTTTTCAACTATCCTTCTCCTTACTCACTTTCGTATAAAATTCTTCTAAGATGTATCTCTTTCTTCTTTCTTCTCTTCTTCTTATTTTTCTTATTCTTCTTCATCTTCTTCTTCTTTCTTCTTCTTCGTTTTTTCTTTCTTTCCTTCTCTCTCTCTCTCTCTCTCTCTCTCTCTCTCTCTCTCTCTCTCTCTCTCTCGCTCGCTCTTTACGTGCAACGAAAAATATAAGGGTAGAAGAAAATGTAGTCTCTTTCTTTCTCTCTCTCTATCTATCTATCTATCTATCTCTCTCTTTCTCTCTCTCTCTTTCTCTCTCTTACTCCTTTGGAATGGAACGAGGGTGAGGGTACGAAGGTGAAAGATGGAGGAAGAGAGGGAGAGAGGCATTATGATGCAAAGATGGCGCGCCGGCAGCACCCTAGAATTAGCTCGAGCACTCGCCATTGGCCGCTCGGCAAACCACTCCTTCGGTAACAACCGACTGCATACGTTGCATACTAAAGGATACACGCGAGCGGCTAAACTATTGACCAACTTCGAATACACAACACTACGCGGATTGTCCTCCTCTCTTAACTCCTATAGTATTCGATACAACTTACGGCTAACTCCTCGTCCTTCCGTCATTATTCTTCTTTTGCGAATTATTCTTCTTTCTCCTTTTTTCCTTTCCTTCTCTTTTTTCCATTTAGCTTCTTATTCCTTTTCCTTCTCTTCTTTACGTAGATCATATAGATCTCTTGCACGTGCATTTCTTTTTCTGTTTTTTTTTTCTTTTTTTTTCTTTTATTTTCTTTCCTTTAATATACATATTTTTCCTCCTTTCTCCCTATTCGTCGACGAATTTTCATATGTATTTTCAATTCTCTAATATATTTTCTTTACGATAATAATAATAATAATTTTGATTTTGATCATAGTAAAGAAAAAAGAAAAGAAAAGAAAAAAAAAAGACAAAGAGACCAAAGTTTATTAAATAATTATTTTCATTTCTTCCTTTTCTTCTCTTTGTTTTTACGATTTTCTTTTTCTATTTTTTTTTTTTCTTTCTTTTTTTTTTTTTTTCTTTTAACACTATACTTTTCAAAATCTTACCTTTTTCTCAAAAGATCCACAATGATCATTCTATTTTGATTCTGAGCTTGATGGACACGAACAGAGCGCGTGCGGTCAATGAAGTTGTGTTAACTCGAGCGCGAAACACCGTGAAAAATGTCTTTGCGAGAAATCGCATTGGACCTCGATCAGAGAATGTTTTTGGAACCCAAAAGGAATAAGCGAGGGAATTGAGAATTCGATCGTACGTTCTCCGACGGATCGTTCTCTTTCTCTTTCTCTTTCTCTGTCTGTCTTTTTCCCTCTGAAAAGGTAAGGGATCACGAAAGTGGACAATAGTTATTCCATCGTGCAAGAGAACTCTCGATCTTCCTTGAAAGTCCCGGTAAACTCTACGTGAGTTTTTGCGAGAGCTCTTCTTCTCGATTGTAACTGCCGTGTAATATCTTCGCCACAAAATCGAAGCTACATTCGAGCTCACCCATAAATGTATTGCCGGTGGTCAGGTACAAGAAAAGTATTATTACAAATCTTATCCTATTATAAACGGAGATATTAGAAATCAAATGATATTATTTTTATTATGAAATTACTGCTCTCTCGTTTCTCTTTATATATGTATATATATATATGTATATATATATATATACACTTACAAAAGGAAAGAGAAAGAATAAAAAAGATTAAACTCGTGGTCGTTGGAACGTAACGAGAACGCAAGAAAAAAGAAACGAAACGAAACGAAAAAAAATAAACAAAAAAATAAAGAAGGAGAAGAAATGAAAAAGGAAGAAAAAAATCGAGAATAAATAAAAATCATCCATACAAATTACGACGCAATATTTCCCATAAGAATAATATGATTGTCGTTAAGAAGAAACTCATTGGACAGAGTGCACGCAAAACGTGGATTCCAAGAAGCGAATGCATGGAAGGGGATCGATCGTGACGTCGATCACGAACGAATGAGCATCGATCTATTCGAGGCAGTGTGTATCGAGGTTAACGTGAGTCGCACTTATTAGTACAACGACGACGACGACGCCGACGACGGCGACTAAGACGACGACGAGGACGACGAGGATGTGGACTGCGTTATTATTGGCATCGTCGAAGTAAATGACGCGAGCCACGTACCGAGAGAAAAGAAATCCGTGGTCGTTTATGAAATCAGAGCTGGCTAGACCGCCGTGTCAGTTATACAGAAAGAAAGAGAGAGAGAGAGGGAGGATGATGACGAAGTGTAATAGTATTAGTGAATACGACACAAAGACGATGACGACGACGGCGACGACGA